CCCTGAAACCAGTCTGCAGGATTATAGTGCTGGTGAAACATTAGAGACAATGCTATTGAAATGAGTATGCCTGCTGTCGCCACTGTTGTTTAACATTGAACTTGCAGTGAATGCCAATGTGATAAGACAAGAAAAATAAGAAATCATACCACTGAGGAGGAGAAAATTCCGTTGTTTGCTAATATGATTTGTACATTTTTATAAAATTTATTTAATAAGTAAAATATACTTACAAATCTGTAAAAATGAACACATCAGTAGAAAAATGAGCAACCGATTATTTAGCAATTTGCAAAACAAGAAAAACAAATTATCAAACAAAACAAATTAAATATGCAATATTGTACTTGTCCAGTTCAAATAATCAATGAGATGACTTGGGGAAGAAGCCCTCATATACTCAGATCTCCCAAAGGTGTACGTGTTACACACCTGCACAATTTATCAGTGTGCTTCAAAGCTTTAAAAGGTACATCCTTTTTGACCCTGCAGTTTTACTGCCAGGAATTCAGTGTCAGGGTATGAATATGGTGGTGGGGAGTAGGGATGGGTGGAGATGATGTTCAAGGAGGTTCAAGCAGTGTAGTTTATAATATCAAAACCTACTGAGGAACTTAATAGTTAACTCATTGAATACATTACGATACATTGATACAGTGAACTATTGTAAAGCTCTGAAGTGAACTTTTGTAAAGACTGTGGAACACTCCTGTGTTGTTGTGAATTACTCACAATCTAGTTGGAGTGAAAATACCACGTTTCAAAATCCTATGCAAAGTATTAGCCCACTTTCTATATATACTAATTTTTTGTCTCAATACATAAAACACTTTTATACACAAAATATTAATAGTCATTATCTCTGAGCAAAGGAAATATGAACTGGGTTTGTTTTTGTTTTTGTTTGTTTTTCCATTTTGTTTACTTGCATGGATTTGCCATCAGCTGAGATGGAGTTTAGATCTGAAACTGGAAAGAAGCTGTTGTTGGTTGCCACCTGGTTGGCCCTGTGTAGGACAGGACGAATCGCTGCCCTGTCCTGCCCTGTCCCCGTGACTGGTTGCGGATCGGACCATTGTGGTCCATGGGTGTTCACTGAGGTTCTCAGAAGCAGAGCACCAGGCCTTTCTTCCGGGTTTGTCTGAGCTGGAAACCCCACAGAAACCTGTTCAGCATCAGAGCCTCATGCCGGCCTCCATTGACAGACAGGCAGTGGCTGCACATTCTGGCAGGACTCGAACCCAGGTTTTCTGTGTGGAAGGCAGGAATTCTAGCACTGAACCACCACTGCCCCTGTGAAGAATTTAGGGAGTAGCCATCGTGTGCAATTGAAATGTTTTCTGCTAATTGACTCTGTGTTCAGAGAGCTCCAGCTAACATGGTGCAGGCCAGGCTTGGCTGTTGGTGCTGACCATTTTCAAATATCTGCATGAATGTACACATACACACATACATATATATATGTGTGTGTACATTATGTACACATACATATATGAATGTTGCATATGTGCCCATATGTGTGTCTCATATATAACGTGTGTCGTGAATGTGACATGTATATGTTGCATATAACATATATATGGGTATATAGTATCTGTTCTTAGATAAATTGCCTAACTTCTGTGTTCCTGACCAAGAAATAGGAGAAACAATTTTAGAACACTTGGTAAATCTTAAGGAGCTCTGGTGGTGATGTGGTTAAGGCATTTGGCTGCTCAGCAAAAGGTTGGTGGTTCAAACCCACCAGCTGCTCTGTGAAAGAAAGATGAAGTAGCCTGTTTCTATAAAGATCTACTGCCTTGGAAACCCAGTGGGGGTCGACTCGATGGCAGTGAGTGGTAAATCTTAGCCCTCAAAAGCAGAGAACTATGACCTAGCCCTGCCCCTCGGTCCCCCCCAAAAAGCCCTGAATTTGAATTGAATCAAGACTCCACATCTACATAGTAATTTACAGAAAAACACAGCAGACAGCAGAACATGAGACAGCCCTGCAGGGACACAACCAACAGCATCCTGTCAGTGAGGGGCTCCCAGGGCCAGAAACCCAGTTCTTCGAGAAATAAACCTCCTGAGACCAGAAGGAGACCTGAACGTACATCCTGTGACCCAGTCGCACTGTGTGGGCCTTGCCTGCATTATTAGTGAAGCCGTTTTCTCAGTACACAGACAGACCCCAGGTTACGAACATCCAATTCACAGGCAATTCCTACTTGCCCTTTGACGCAGGGCTTCCACCTGGTTCTGTCATGGCCACCGAAGCCATGATTTCCACGATGTGGTGATTCTTCACAGCCACCAGAACAGAATTGGAGGTCAGAGCCCTGGAAGGGAGGACTCAGAAGAGGTGAAAGGAGCCCTTCCAGGCCTGATGTGTGAGAGTGGGTTACTGGCAGGACTGTGGAGAGCCACACACATTCAGAATGGCACAGTCGGCCATCTTTGAGCAGGGCGCTGCCATATTTGAAGCCCTGCTTTACTGTTATGTAAATATGCCCTCACTTTCAAATGATGACCCAACCCCTAAAACCAAAACCAAACCTACTGCCATTGGGTGGATTCCAAATCATAGTCATCCTATAGGGCAGAGTAGGCCTGCCCCATAGCAATTTGACGGCTGTGAATCTTTATGAATCTTGCAGAGCAGCTGGTGGGTTTGAACGGCTAACCTTTTGGTTAGCAGCCATATGCCATAATCACTGTGCCACCAGAGCTTCTAACCAAATCAAACTCACTGCCATTGAGTCATTCTGACTCATAGTGACCCCATTGAGTTTCCAAGGCTATAAAATTTTACAGAAGCAGACTCTCCCATCTTCTGTGGAATGGCTGGTGACTTCGAACTGCCCGCCTTTTGGTTACGAACCACATGTCTTCACCACTGTGCCACCAGAGCTCCTAAGCTAAACAACAGTATAGCTGAATTAGCGAAGAACGTTTACCTTGAGCAGTGTGTTCCTTTGAAGAATTCTCTGTATGAGCTCAAACTGACAACTGCCTCTAAAGCACAGACGAGTGTGTGTGGAGCAGGGAGTAATTCAGTGGGACTGAAATGACATGGGGAAGAGTGAGAATGGTGAGAGCGTCTGTGGTGGTTACGTTTGTGTGTCACCTTGGCTGGGTCTGGTTGAGTGGCAGCTGGATGTAGTATTCTCCAAGATGAGACTGGTAATCAACCCCATGGTGGAATCTACTGTGAGCCGCTGAGTAGCTGCCTTTAGGATGTGGTCTGCTTCCCATATATAAATAGCACCTTTGGGAATGGTCTCTAGCTTATGGCACGCTTGGACATTGCATGCAGCCTGCTATACTCTGCCAACTGGGGATTTACAATGGACTTGAATTAATGGCCTGCCGTGTGGTTTGGTATCATCGGGACTGTGCCATTTTATTTGTCGACCTTGGGCTTGGCAGCCTCAGCAGCCAGTAGCCGTCTGAGTGGAGAGATGCCTCTAACTTCAGTGGGCCAGGAGCAAGAGGCAGAGCTGCAGCCCAAGGTCGAGGGGCTTTCACACATCCCCTAGAGCCTAGCACTTTGAACTTGGATTTCCAGCCTCTGAACTGTAAGAGAATGAACTCCTGTTTGTTAAGGCCATCCCGTTTGTGGTACATTCCTGTCCGAGTGGCACTAGGGAACCAGAACAGTGTCCTTCACGTTTCCCATCTTTAAGACGAAGCCGATGGCCTTGACTTGTCAATTTGCAAATAAAACAACGGGAACGTAGGACGTAAAGTCCAAGTCAAGAGGCAATTGGTCAGTAAAACCGTTCCTCTTCCCTGATTCTCAATTTCCTGACATATCAGAACATTGAGGGAGACATTGGGAACCCCACCGTCCTTAGGCCAGACTCCCTCCCAGCAGAACCTCACTGCCTGCCTCTGGGGCTGGGGCAGGGTGGTCCTGCCATGCCATCCACATCCGTCCTGGGAAGGGAACGGAGCAAGGGTGTGCCCACTACTCATCACAGCCACGGCAGTGACAAGAAAGGCTCCCCTGTGGAGACGCCATGGGCTGACGGACCCCTACACCTACTCCGTCACTGTTTCTGCTCCTGCTCTCTGGGGGCCACGGATGTCCAGGGAGGTTTCTAACTCAGCCCAGGTCACTCGGCTAGGAAGCAGGGGAGGTGGGACCCGTTGAATTTGCATTTTATTCTCCAGACTGGCTAGAGTTTAAGAGTTAGAGATGTTGTTTTTTTTTTTTTAATTAATTAATTAAAAAATGTAGTGGTGAAAACATGCCCAGCCAGAGATCCACCATCTCAACACTGCCTCTGGGTACCATCATTGATGTTGGTTACATCCTCCCAGTCAGCGACCATTCTCACCCTCCTTTTCCAAGGCATCCGACTACCCCTGACATAACTCTCTGCCCGTAACATAAAGGTTCTCATCCAACCTTTCGAGTTGCTGTGGTCGGCCTGATCCCACATAGCTAACTCTTTAGAAGGGCGCCATGCTGAAGGGGTTCACTGGACGAGTTCCACCATGGCTCCCTGTTTGAAATTCTCATTCCCTCGACCCCAGTGTAGTGCACAACACTCTGCTCGCACATTTGCTCACTTGCTCACTTGTTTTGTTCCAGACGATAAACAGGCCCCTTTGAATAGCTCAGTTTAAATGGCTGGCTGTTGTGTGCTTTCTACCTTCCCGTGTACTGATGGCATGTCAAACAGGTGAAAAATGTTTTGGTTTGGCTTAGGTTGGTTGACTTGGGTTTTTCTCCCACCCCTTCCCTTCCCCCTCCTCTCATCTCCTCGCCCCTCCATCTCTCTGCCTTTTTGCTTTTTACACAAACTCTCAACTTGCCTCGTTTGGGGGACACTTCCTGGCCTTGCTGGTGCCGTTACCCTGGTTCATGAATCTTTTCTGAAACCAAATAAACTCTATAAAATATTCTTTGTTAGAATTGTCCTTTTAACAGAGCCAAATGCACCCCTGCACCTTGCCTGCTTGGACCCTAAACTCAGCCCCTCAACTGCACTGTCACCTCTCCTGACCAGGTGCTGAAGACCTGTGCGTCCATCCCCACGGTCATCGAGGTTCTCGTCAACTCCTACCCTCAGCTCCGTGTGTCTGAGTCCTGGCGGTGGCTCATCCCTGGAGACGTGCTTCAGGTGAGGGAGCTGCTTGGCTCTGTCCCCGTTGGGACAAAGCAGTGGCCTGTTTCTGCTGACCCCTGTGTGGAGTTTGGCACTAACGTCCAAGTAAGTTGGAAACATCCAAAGAAGGAGGAAAGAGATGGGGAAAGGGGTTTGTATTGGCATATTTCTGTTTTTCTTCTGGGGGCTCCAGTCACACAGCCAAGAGCCTATTCGAATGCAGGGAGCAGAAAGCCAACCTGGGCCGGATATGGATTCCAAGGGGTCAGTAGCCAACGTCAGGGAGGGGCGGGCGCAGATCCACCTGACCCACAGGTCTGGCTCCGTTTTGTAAGACGCTGGTCTAGTCTCTGTGGCCAGCTCCGTCCTACTGCTTAACAGTGACGGGAGCCACACTGTCAATCAAAGTCCACGGCTGACTGTCTCTTGCAAAGAGGGAGGGTGTTGTTTCCAGAAGCCTCTGGAAGTTTCCTCATCAGGATCCACTGAACTGAGTCCTGTTCACGTTGCTGGTGGGGGCCCCCAAGTGGCCTGCAGCTCACAGACGATGGCAGCAGACGCTGCCCAGGGCGGCGCCGTCCCCACCGCCGGTCGTGGATCACACCGTGGTGCCCTAGGGTCCCCTGGCTGAGTTCAGGAGGTCGCCAGGCCTCTCTCCCCAGGCCCTCGTGGTCTGGACGCTCTGCCGAAAGCCTCCACGGGCAGACGGTGGGGGCCGTGCATGAAGAGCACTGGCCGGGAATCGAACCGGGGTCTCCCACGTGGAGGGCGGGGAGCCCCCCACTGCACCCCCACTGCCTTCGTGTGCACGTTACTGAACCCCAGCTGCTGGTTGGCTTTGGCCGGGCTTCCCGTGACGGGTTCCATCGCGTGGGGTCCCCCTTGCAGCTGCAGGGCTGGGGGGGGTGTAAACTGGAAGGCAGCCCCGTGGGGCTCCCCCTTACTGCACTTGAGAAGGGTGTCCAGTCTCAGCAGACCTGGGGTGGTGCAAACAGTTAAGCACTCAACCACTAACCCAGGCGTTGGACGTCCGACCCTACCCAGAGGTGCCTCGGGATAAATGCCTGGTGTCCGGCTTCCAAAAGGCCTCAGCCTTGGGACCCCGTAGGGAGCACAGTTCTGCATGGAGTTGCCATGAGTCAGAATAGATGGGATGGTAACTGGCTTCGTTTGGTGTCTGAGCTGAGCCGTAGAAAGAGCCTCCCGTGCGATCAGGGACCCTGTGGCTGGGGAAGGGACTCCTGTCTGTCCCGGGGCCACCGACTCACGCTCCCCCGCTTCCCCTTCCAGATGCACCAGCCGTTTTACCGGTCCCTCTTCGCCCTGGCCAGCACCCCTCGCTGCTTGCAGCACCTCTCTCGCTGCACCATCCGGAAGCTGCTCGGCAAAAAGTGTTCTCACCTCGTGCCCCGGCTCCCCCTGCCGAAGCCCCTGCAAGACTATCTGCTCTTGGAGCCAGAAGGGGTTTTGCGCTGAAAGCCAGAGCCCCACGAGGGAGGCTCCTGTTCCCGCCTCCATCCTCCGTGGGGGCTGTGCTGCCAGGCAGTGCCCTGGAGGAGGAGGGGCGGACCTGAGTGGGACCCCGGTGCCCCTCTCCGTGTGTGGCCGGGGGAAGGCACAGACCCTACCGAGCTGCTGGCTCCCCCGAAATGAAATCTGTAATAAAAGCCCTTTCCCCAATTCAGGATACCTCGTGTGAGGACCGAGTAGACTTGCAAGCATCACAGTACTTTGCTTCGTAAAGTCCACATCAAGTTGAACTAAAGGGCACACGTGTTTTTCCGAGTTTTGTCCTCCGCCCTCGGTGAGTTGGCAGCACACGTGCTGGTACCCCAGCCTCAGACCCTCTACTTCCCTGGGCCTCAGTCACCGAAGAGGCTCTGTCCCCAGAACAGGACACTTGCATAACAAGACTGTCCCAGCCCCGTGGCGTCCAGGGCTCCTGAAAAGCATGGCAGGGGGAGCCAGGCATTTGGACCCGGTTGAGTCTCTGACACCCTTTCCAACCCCAACTGAGCCAGTGCCTGCAGACCCGCGAGCTGAGCACCAGGAATACCCACAGGTTGGCGGAGGGTCAGCCAGCTTAGCCTGAGCGTTCCATAGGCGAGACGCTTGGATGGTCAAGGGCACTGTGGTCATCCTCCAAGGACAGGTGCTGTTCCCTCTTCTTTTCCAGTAGAGCCACATGCAAGAAGCCATGGGGGACCTTTGGGGGGCAGGGGGCATGCCCTCCTGGATGTCACAGTTGGGAAGGGGAGCCCAGACCATGAGCAAAACCCACAGTGGGAGTGGAAAGGTGGGTGGAAAAGAGCGAGGTAGCTGGGCTGAGCCTGTGTGTGGTCGAATCCAACACAGGGGATCCACCAAGGGAGTGACTGGACAGTGTCCCCCCTGCTCCTGCTCCTGCCCACCCACACCCCACCCTTTGACACACTACCTGCTCTACCACCCAAAGCCGGTTGTCATGGAGCCCCTCTGACTCAGGGCAACCCCACATGTCAGAGGAGAGCTGGGCTCCATAGGGGTTTTAGTGGCTCATCTTTCAGAAGGCACTCGCCACGTCTGTCTTCTGAGGTGCCTCCAGGTGGACACGAACTTCCAACCTCCTGGTTAGCAGAGGGCGTGTTGACCATCTGCATCATCCAAGGACACCTGCTCGACAGAAGGGCAGTGGACACAGCTTCAGGGCTTCCCTCCCTAGCAGATGGCTCCCCGGGCCTTCACAGGGGACATTCTGGGTTCACCACTGAGTGAGAGGGAAACAGGAAGGCAGGCCACACAGGACACAGTGGGGGACGGAGTCATTCATCCTTGAGCAGCGGGTGTCCTGAAACTGGGAACTGGAAGCGGGTGGAGACATGTTGGAAGAGCCGTGGCTTCCAGACCAAGGGTTCGGGACTTGAGGAGGTGCAGTGCGGAGGGGAGCAAGTGTGGTCCTGGTGGGGCTCTAGGACGACTTTCCTGGAAAGGAATGCCGGACGATGGGTGCCAAGCCCACGGCAACAGGCTCTGCACTCAGACGGGCTTCAGATCCAGACACCTCCCCTGAGCTGCGGGAAACAGTGGGCGGGTCCAGCTGTGGTTTGGTTCTGGACAATGAACGTATCTGCACATATGTGTGCCTCCCTCATTGGATTCACTGCTGTAGGAGGGAGAAGACGGGGCTAACGGGCTCTTGTTGACATGTGCATTTGGACTCCGGAGGTGTAGATTGGGCCAGGACTCTGTGCTTCTAACAAGTGTGGGTGACACCCTTCTGCTGGTGGTCACCAGCCCTGCTGAGTGGAGAGATGCAAAGGTTTGAGCTCAAAGCCCTGCCCAGAGCAAGAACCTAACAGGTCATTCCCTGTCATATTATGATTATCTTATTGTCATCATTGTCAGGCGAGAACAGCCTATCACTGAGATACTGCTGTCATTGTTACGTGCCAGCATGACTCCTGGTGACCCCATGCACAACAGAACAGATGTGTGACCCACAGGGTCCTCACTGGCTGATTTCAGTGGCAGTCACCAGGCCTTTCTTCCTCATCTTAGTTTAGAAGCTCCGCAGAAAACTGTTCTGCATCCCAGCAACACGCAGGCCTCTGGTGACGGGCGGGTGGCGGCCCAGGAGGTGCACCAGCCCAGGATCGACCCACGTCTGCTGTGAGGGAGGCAGGGGCTTTACCCCTGGGCCCCCACTGCCCCCGTTATTGTCGGGATGAAGACTCGAGGATGGAAAATCATAGCCACGTGCCTTGTGAGAATAAGCACAAGGGTAAGAGTGAGACGTGAGAGCTGCCGAAACCAGTAAGAACCCGGCGCTCCCCGAGTTCTGCAAATGGGAGTCTGAGAAGGCACTTGGCCAGGCTCGGTCCTTCTGCCACCCTCCTCAGGACACTGGCTAGCTTTCCAAGATGCCCTCCACGTTTCATGTGCTCTGAAGAGTCCTGGAACAAAGCGGTGCTTTTCTGCTCATGCCGACTTCATGCTTCTAAAACTCTAATGAATAATAACCAATTCGGAGGTTTCCAAGCACGATTTTTCGCAGCTTAAAACAATAACGTGTGTCTCACAATGAGCCCCAGCTGAAAGGAATTTGTTCCTTTTCACTGCTTTCACCCCCAAGAATGTGCCGTGGAAATTCCGATACTCCGAGGGAGAGCGCGTGCGGGCAGCTCCTTAGTGGGAAGGCCTTCACCTCCCCATCTGGGCCCCTGCTCCTTCATTAGCCAGCCCTTGTTGAGCCCCTGTAGGGCCGAGCCCAGTGCTTGGGGCTAAGGCCTTCCCAGTGAACATGAGAACAAATCACCACCCTCCTTACGGAGCCCACAGCAAGTGATTAAGGACAACTTGTCAGCAAGAAGGCACCTTGAGGAGACGTGGGAAGGAAAGGGTCCCCTTCCTGGCCACCGTGTCTCCAGCTGCCCCTGCATTGAGTGAGGACTGCTATATCCCAGGGAAGACAGAGTCTGCACAGCTGTGGCTTCTCCATCCCTGTGACTGGGTCTTCAGGGAACCATGTGACTTCTGTGATGACAAGCCCTTCACCCTCCTTTGGCCAAGCCAACACCATGTCTCGCTGTAAATCTACAGTGTCCAGACCAACACCATGTCTAGTTGCATATGGAATGCAATGGCCTGTTGTTGTTGTTAGGTGCCATCGAGTCATCTCCAACTCAGCGACCCTGTGCCCGGCAGAACAACAGCTGCCTGGTCTTGTGCCAGCCTCACGATCCCTGCTACCCATCGTTGATAAAATAGTTGATAAAAACACCCTAAAAGACGTTTTATATTGAGGTTACCCTGGCTTACTTTTACCCTAGAGAGTAAAATATACCCTGTTTTTGATTAAGGAGCTCAGTTGACACAATGGTTAAACAGTCAGCTTCTAATGGAAAGGTGGTTCAAACTCACCAGCTGCCCACGGGAGAAAGACGCTCCTTCTGTGAAGATCCCTCTGTGGAGAAGCTTCTGTAAAGGTCACATCTTGGAAACCCTATGGGCAGTTTGACTCTGTCCTAGAGGGTAGCTGAGAGTTGGATTCGACCCGATGGCAACAGGTTGGGTTTGGTTTGGTTTTGATTGTTGTTGTTGTTGTTATTTGCCGTCGAGTCAGACCGACCCATAGCGACCCCTCCTTGGGTTTCCGAGGCAGTATCACTATGGAAGTAGATTGCCCCATCTTCCTTCCGAGGAGTGGCTGGTGGGTTTGAACCTCCAGCCTTCTGGTTAGCAGTCAAGTGCCTTAGGCACTATGCCACCAGAGCTCCTTTGGTGTTGATTCAGGATCAAAAACAGTTTTCCTTTCTTCTACACTCCATTTTGATCATCACTGTTTTCCTCTTTTGTACTGTTGTGTTTTTAGGTGCCATCATGGCGGCTTCGACTCACAGCCTGTGAATGAACCCTGCCCCGTCCCACACCGTCCTCAGAACCGCTGTCATGTTTGAGCTCATCGTCACAGCCACTGTGTCAGTCCATTTTCTGTGACATACATTCAGTCTGACATCTTTCTTTATCTTCAAAGTTATTGTTTAAGTTACGGTAAATACACACACACATGAAACAAAACTTTGGCCATTTCAGCTCTTTTCACACGTACAGTCCAGTGACATCGATTCCATTCACCATGTTTGCAGCCCTCATCACCATCTGTCCCGAACGGTCCCATCGCCCCCTCAAAGGCTCAGTATCCACTAAGCAGTGACTCCAACCTTGTAATCATTGTGCCGAGTGACATGAGTCAGTTGCAAAAGGACAAATGTATGATTCCACTTACATGAAATATCCCATTTATTTTGTAATGATGGATCCACGTGGTTCAAAAAAAAAAGGGTAAATGGTGCTTTCACTTGCTATTTCCAATAAAAAAGATAAGTTTATTGTTGTTGTTGCTCAGTGCCGTCCAGTCGGTTGTACACAGGGGCCCTGGGCACGACAGGACAAGGTCCTAACCAGGCCTTTGCCGTCTGCACAGTCCCTGCTGTGTGTGAGCCCGTGTGGCAGCCACGATGCCACCATCTCACTCAGGGTCTTCCCCTTTCTGGCTGACCCTCTGCTTCACCATCCACGATGTCCTCCAGGGACAGGTCCCTCCTGATGACGTGTCCTAAGGACGTGAGGCGAAGTCTCACCATCCTCACTTATAAGGAGCACTCTGGCTGTACTTCTTCCAGGACAGATGGCAGAAGGATCTTTTTCCTCCAAATTTTATTGAACATCTTTGATAATTACTTGTTCTCTGACCCAAAGAATTCAAAAGTTCACCCACAGTGGCCCTGGGGAGGGTCACTTCTTTGTGCAGCCACCAGACCCTGGACAAGATGGAAGGTCCCTGGCACAGCTGGATGGCCAGACACGATCCATAGTCCGCAGACAGCACTCAGGTGGGGTGTGGCCATGCTTCATGTTTAAAGTTCTGAAGGCAGAATTTTTTCAGTGTATTTGTGGCAGTTCGATTTTTTTATTGTAGTACATAGCAAGACATTTGT